TATATATATATATATATATACAGTGCCTTGCATAAGTATTCACCCCCTGCAAAGTTTCCACATTTTATTGCCATCTGAGCTTGCGATCATGAAATTTTCAAATGGGACTTTATATTTAGATTTTCAAAGAAAATTAGAATATTCTCAATTGCATAAGTATTCAACTTCTTTGCTAAATCAGTGCAGGTGCAAAAGATTAGTTTGAAAGGTCACAAGATTAGTGTAATGGTCTCTGACTGTGTGTAATTAAAGTGCTTTAACATGACAAACCAACCATAAAGACCAAGGAGCTTTCCAAACAAGTCAGGGATAAAGTGGTAGAGAAACACAGATCAAGAGAAGGTTACAAGAAAATTTTAAAGTCACTGGTTATCTCTTTGAGTATGGTGAAGTCCATCATTAAGAAGTGGAATGTGCTTCATACCACCCAGTCAATACCCAGATCAGGCAACCCTTTCAAACTAAGCAGCTGGGCAAACAGGAAACTGCTTATGGATGTCACTGTGAAGCCAACAGTGATTTTGAAGGATTTTCAAAGATCCATGTCTGATAAAGGAGTCAGTGTTAATACATCAACAATATCCTGGTCCCTCCATAAAGCTGGCCTGTATGGGTGAGTGGCAAGAAAGAAGACATTACTGAAAAAAAATAATCATCTTAAATCTTGTATGTCATTTGTGACAAAGCATGTAAATGATACTGCAGACATTTTGTGGTCAGAGAAGACAAAAATTGAGTCTTTTGGTCTAAATTCAAAGTCTGGTGCAAGCCCAACACATCACCCAATCAACACAATCCCAACTCTCAAACATGGTGGTGGCAGCATCATGTTATGGGGATACTTTTCATCAGCAGGGACTGGGAAGCTTGTCATGATTGAGAGGAAGATGGGTGGTGCAAAGTACAGGTGAATCCTAGAGGAAAACCTGCTTGAGTCAGCCAAGAATCTAAAACTGGGTTGAAAATTCACATTTTAGTAGGACAATGACCCGAAGCACAAAGCCAAACCACACTGGAGTGGTTTCAAAAGAAGAAAGTGAATGTCCTGGAGTGGCCCAGTCAAAATCCTGACTTAAATCCAGTAGAAAATTTATGATGAGACTTGAAGATTGTAGTCCATCAGTGATCCCAAATGAACTGGTCAGAATTGGAGCAATTTTGTCAAGAAGAATGGGCAAAAATTACACCATCCCATTTTGCAAAGCTGGTAGAGACCTATCGAAAAAGACTCACAGCAATAATTGCTGCCAAAGGTGCTTCCAACAAGTACTGATTTAGGGGGCTAAATACTTATGCAATCAGCAAATTTCAATTTCTTTATTTTCTTTGCAGGTTTTGCTGACATTCAACCTTCTTCACATATAACAGTGTTAAGTTTGATCATTAGAGTTTTGAATAAAAACAAGTTCATTGAAAAATTGTTTGCATTATTTGTATTTCATCAAAATGTCACATTATTGGTAGGGGGTTAATACTAGTGCTTGTAATAAAAATTTAATGACAGATGTCTTGTTGCACAAACAAATTAGGTGTGTTCATGATTTGACCCAGTGCAGGAGCTTTTTTTAAGGAATTATTTTTGTTGTTTGTTTTAGATATTTTTTATTGTATTTAAATATGATGTTTTGTATACCTGAAGTTTTTTATTTTTATGAAACAGAATGCATACTAATCTATATTATGTGCATTGCATTATACAAATGAAGTTAAGGAAATTATAAAACAATCCATTTTAAATGTGAGAGATTACATAAAATATATAACTTGTACACTTCATATTTCGTTTTAGTCCTCAAAACAATTTAGATACTTCTGTATATTCTATTTATACTCCATTTTCCAAGGAAAATATTAATTACATTTTATTTCATAGTTTCATTAAGTTCCCAAAGAAAGTTATTGCAAGATCTCTGGATCATATAGTTAATTTTTTTTATACTTTTTTTACAACATTATAGAGAATATTTACAAGTGATATATGTTTCAATAGAAACATGAAAGTGTATTAATAAAGTCCACTCATATAGTATTTTATTGTAGAAAGGTTTCTACTTTGCCTTAATTTTATAACTTAGCCAATTTTCTAAATGAAAAGATTACACAAAACAAAAAACATGTATATAAAGTGTAATATAAAATTATTGTTGGACCTTTTTCAGTTATAAGTTTAACTTAGCTTCTTATGAGTTGTTATTTTTAAGTAGTAAAAATCTACTCTAAAACTTTTTGTTTTAAACTTTAGACCATTGTTTTCCATTGTATTGATGGAAGTAATTACAAAGAGTACATGTCAGTGTAAATCTAAATATTATAAACACTTGCATTTCAGTTTCAACCAGTTTTGCCAGATACAACAAAGGTTGAAAAAGTTGACAGTGCAGTACAGACCAGCCCACACCACCGTTTTCCATTTCCTGTCATCTCTTCTGATCCATCACAAGCTCCTCAGCAATTAATGAGTGGCCAACAGCAGCAAAAAGAAAGAACAGTTAAAGAAAACCTTGTTAGAACCTCTTCAGATGATGGTAGCATACATGTTTCTAGAAATCAGGAGCAGGGTGCAACTTCTGAGGAAGATCAAATTATGTCAAGTGAAGAAACTGCTCTAGAATTACCACAAATAGCAGTTCCATCTTCTTCAACAGAGAGCTCTTCCTTAATGCCAGCTGTTGGTAGTGCCCCACCTTCATCTGTTTCGCATAATTCTTCTCCTCAGACTGACTCAGGAGTCCATAGTGTGAAAACCTCTAGTTTTTTGTCCTCTTCAAATGGCCATAGTAACCAAACATATGGTTTTGAGAACCAGGAAGAGTTACCAACAAGTGGACTCTCTGCAATCCTTCTCCAAGATTCTGGTCTTGGAAATTCAAATGTGTCATCTTCTAGAGACAGTGGTGTTGCTTCTGCCAATGAACTACCTGTTTCTATAGTTACTAATCTCAACAATTTTGAAAGTACTATTATAACTACTACTTCCTGCACCAGAGTTCTAAGCTCCTTGACAACATCATCTTTAACTTCAAATAGCTCTGGTACAATTATGACAGATACTACATCTCACAGTGATGAACTTTTCCAGAGACAAGGTCCTATTATTCATGATCATATTCCCTATGAGGTACCAATTAATCAGAGTGACGATGATCAAGCAGCAGCCCAAAACTTGCCAGAATCACCAACAAGACCAGCAGGCCAGAACTTACCTAAATTGCTAACAAGACCAGACCATCACTTGTCAAATACTGGAACTGTGTTTCAAACACCTGAAAGAACAGACATTGGAAACAACTTGACAGAATCAGCAAAGCTTCGAAGTAGACTACCTTTTTATACTGATGACATGAAAATAATGATTGGAGAAGATGTAGACTTTCAGCATGGACAAACTCTTCCAGTGGCCACATCTTCTGTAACTGATGACAGCAAAACTATTTCAGAACAACTTCAGATAAGACTTGATAATCAAGAAGATAATCAGTTTAGATCAGATGATACTTCATCAACAACTCTATATACAGTTGAAAGCATTGGTACCTTGCAGGACAACATGAGTGATGATGATAGTTTAGCAGAAGCTTTTTCGGCCCAGTCTACTTTTAGTGATCAAGAAACTGTAGATACAGAGAGCGCATCATCTAACCACACACTTGCAGATCAACGTAGTACAACAGTACATCATGAAGAGTTGAATACAGATTTTATTCCATTGACCATTTCAGGAAATGCTTCTGAAAGCACGTTAACAGTGTCAAGTGTCACATCTCTACAAACTGCAATGAGTGATTTAAGTGGTGAGGAAAGTGAGAATGAAGACACTTTTAGTATGGGAACTGTAGTATCTCCACCCATTTCCATACAAAATGTTTATGAAGCATCAGGAATAACCACTGACTTTGTGTATAGGCTGAAGAATTCCCATGAGAATGAGGTTGGAGAAAGTGTTTTACCTAGTGCCAATGTTATACACTGTGATTTTACAGTTTCTAAAGACAGCAGTGCAACTTCTCATGTTGTAAACCAGGTATGTGGAGATGTTTGATTGAAACTATAATACAATAAATCCTAGAGAACATTTCACTAGAACTTTCTAGTCAAGACTGTTCTGAAGACTTTATGGTACCTTATATCATAAAAATGAAAACTAACAATTCTAGCAATAAGTACAAAAAATTAAAACTATTTTCTTAAATATTAGAGTAAATACGTTAGTTACGAAGTAAAAGAGATTTATATGTGAGTTATACTAAAATAAATTTTTCAAACAAAATGAGTCATTATGAAGTTGAAGTTGTTGGTAATATGTCATATTTTTTATTTTGTAAATTATTTGCATTTATAGTAAAGTTCACATTGTTTTCATTTATTATGTTGATTGTACATTTGTTTTTGTTTTGTAATAGCAAAATGTCACTGTAAAGTTTTAGCCTTTAGTTAGAGTTACTGTTTATATCCAAGTTTTTATTAATACAAAGAAACATTTTGATTAAAATTTGTTTTTACTTCAGGTATCATTGTACTTATATTTAATAAATAGTCAAATACAAATGAGGAAGAGATACAGAATGTGACACATTAACAGAAAAATCTAAGAAATATAACAGTTACCCAAGTTTTTATCATACCATATGTCTTCAGATTCTACAGTTTAGAGCTGAATGAACTTTAAAATTCTTTAAGAAGAGTCATCTTGTACTCAATGAAAAACAAAATTACCAATATTTAACTCTGAAATTGGGAGTCGGTCATATCGAAAGTAGTGGGTGTTTTGGAAATTACAATGTTAGGCAAACATTAAAAAAATGCTGAAATTGCCTTTCAACAATTTAATATTAGAGCTTTCTTACAATACAACTCATCAGCTCACCTCTTATAGAAAAAATTAGTTCTTCCCTCATTTGTATCAAGATGTTGGTAAAACTCCATTGCCTTTTGCAAAATAATTTTCCTGTTGAAGACCTATTTTTGGTGCTAAACTAGTCAATATACACTTGAAGATTGACAGAAAATCATGCTTAACCTTGTCTCAGTTGCAAAGAACTCTTGCGCAAATCTTGATCAAAATGGAATGGCCCTGAGCAAAAGTAGCCTTGCTTCCAAAACATACTTACCTCCTCTCACACTACAGCTATAACTCGACTGCCAGGGTTTCTTCCTTTGCCCATCTAAGCATTAGTCTGTTTTTTCTTGTTTGCTCCAGTCTTTTGTACCATACTTAATTGTCCTTGGCAATATTTATTACTTGACACTCTCCACTATGTCAATGCACCCTTTATCCTGGTACTGTATGTAAACACCTCAGTCAGATAATGTTATCACTTTTTCTTGAAAAGCATTCACTAATGGGTTACACTGTACTATGATTTTTGGTGATACGTTGATCCTTCTTCATGTTACCTAGTTGATTTTCATAAATATATATATATATATGTACATATATTGTTTGTTTGGCAAGCTGATATATGGCATGAATTTCCAGATCATTATTTCCAGCATGGAGGCAAATGGGTCCAATTTCAGTTGAGACTGTCAAGGATCTTATTTCTAGTGAGATGGAGACATCTATTTGGTTCAGTGATATTCCTCCTGGGGGCTCTGAGGCTGCAATTGAGGGCAATCTTGACATTCTGAAGAGAATTTAGATTTGCTTTTTTTCTGCACCTTCCTTTATTCTGTTGGTTTCTCATGAGTCCACTTTGGAATAAGCTGCCTGAGGCTCCTTTTCTTCAGTTGGTCCATCAAGTGTGTGATGTTTTGGGTCTTTCATCAGTTGCTTTTTAGCCTGCACCTTACTTGAAAACTGAAAGGTCTGGGAGTGAATACTTGGTTTTCCCACCATCCACTGACATTGTGGTTCATGCAGGGAGGTTTACTGCTCAGTTATGTGAAGGGACAATTCATCACGATTGTCAGAACTACATGATTTAGCTTACCACCACCAAGTGGAAGCATATTTCGACTATCAAAGAATACATCGGCTCCTGGAAATTTAGGATTCTAGAGCGGAGTCTGTAGTTAACCTGAATAGCTTGCAATTTTCTAAAATTTGTCTCACCATATATACTGTGCCGAGTTACTTATTATCCTCTAAACTTTGTTGGCAGATTCTCAGGATCACCAAGTCCATTGCTGACAAGCTGGAACCATTGTTAGCATGCACATTAGTTCGATTATCAGCTTTTACATTCAACCCTGTTGCCCTTGGCATCTTGACTTTCCTCGGCTCCTACTGGGGATCATAGTTCTGCCCCTAATTGAGGGTTCCTATCCCCATCATCAACCCCTTGTTCCATTGGTACCCAGAATAGATTCTGTCCATATCCAAAGGTTCTGCTGCTCAGTCAGAACACTGCCAGCAGCATCAGTGACTACTGTACAACTTTGGGGCCTGTGGGGCTCTGCTCTGAGAATTTCTGGATGTGTGGTAAACCTTAACCGTGGATTCATGGGCACTACAGATCTTTGAGTCAGGATTAGTCATTCAGTTCATATCTTCACCACCATTATTCACCCAACCTGTAGTGTTTCTGTCTCCCGTAGATCCTCAGATTTTGGAACTTAGTTCTAGGGCTATCAGACTCTGGTTGATCTGTGGATAGAGAGAGAGTCAGGCCAGTTCTTCCAGGGTTTTATACCCGTCAGTTTGTTGGGCCCAAGAAGACAGGAGACTGACATCCAGTCATTGATCTTTCTCATCTATTCTCCAAGGTTCACAAGTGACTCATTCTTCACTTTGAGTTGGCATAACTTTGATGTCATCGGCTCCTATCTGCATGCTGCCATAGTGGTGGCGTCCCACCACTATTGGCATTTTTGTGCACAAAGGTCAGGTACTGCAGTTCAGGGTTCTTACATTTGGACTAGCATCAGCACCATATGGGTTCTGCCAATATGTATGACCTTTTTGTCATCACCTCCATTCCATATCCCTGTGCACACACCATTCCATGGATGTCTGGTTACTGCTGGCACCATCTCGTCAATTCTCAGAACGTCACACCCGATTTCTACTTTCAGAAATAACCAAGGCAGGCTTCATTATCAGAGCTGAGATATCTGTTCTCACTCCAACACAATATGTTGTCAGTCTGAGTATTTATTCATCACAAATCTCAATCGGGCTTATCCAACTCCTATCTGGCTACACACTATGGAACAGAAAGTCCGACTCTTACTCACCTTTCCTTTTACCACTGCATGGATGGTTCTTTCTCTTTTGGGAATGTAGCCATCACTTGAATCCCTAATGCCTTTTGGACCAGCACACAAGAGATCCCTTCAGTGGTCTTTATGTGACCACTGGATCATGAACAGTGAACCACTGGATTGGATTTCCCAGTTTCCTTATTCAGGATCATTCTCTTCGATCTGGAGGGGTGGTTAGATTGGAACAATACTAAGATATGAGTTCCTCTGCTGCCACCTCATCCAGAGATCCATCTCTTCACGAATGTCTCACTTCAGGGATGGGGTGCATATCTCAATGTTCAGGAATTCCAGGGTCTATGCACAGAAGATAAGGATTCCCTACACAATGTTTAGACCTTGCTCTTCAAAAGCAATGTCTCATGGTCTGGGCTTATTAACCCTGTTGCTATAGTCAAGGGTCAAAGGGCATGTCATTGCATTTGTAAACTTACATTTAAAGTTTTATTGAACTATTTTATGAATGTATGTCAACAAGTTTTGGTATAAAATTGCAGATTATAATACAAATTTTAGTATTATACATTAGTTAATTTCTTCATTTAAAGTAAATAATAAAAAATTCCTAAATATTGATTTTTGTGTGTCACATGGTATGTTGAATGCTGCATTGCTTCAAATTAGATGTTTGTGATGTCCAAATACAGTCTATAGTTTCTTATGAATTAGACACTCAAATTACTGCTATTAACAAGCTAGAATATAAAATAAAAACCTCCTATCTTTTATATTTTCTGAGATATTAATATATTTATTGAATTAACCGAGGTGGCCCCACACACCTCTTCAATTTTTGAAAATACTTTCTCACATACATATACTTTGCCCAATAACCAGTGTCCCCTCTAAGCTGTGTGGCTGCATGGCCGTACAACAACCAATCAAGTGCCACACACTTCATTATTCCAGCCACGCACATCCTCAATAATAGTGAGGAGTCTCAACATGTTCACAGCCTTAATGACTCTGGCAGTTGATAGCAAATAACCAATTGGTAGCATTGCAAAGTGCTCTAATGATCCAATAAGGTCATTGGTCTAAAAATACCCCCCCCCCCAAAAAAAAGCTGGTAACGCACATCCACAGATTGCCTTGATATTGGTGCACGTGAAAAAATTCATTTTGTACATGGATTGAAAAAATTAGATGGAACATTGCCAATGAAATGTGTATAACCAGTAAAAAGCTCAGAATGTTCCCCTAGTGGCTTTCTCAGCCTCTGCAAAATATTTTTTAGACCCAAATACAGCTTATTTACAAAGGTTGATAAATTATAGTGGAATTCTCTGGTATTGATATAGTAATTTATGATTTTTTTTGTTATTTCAAAATGTCTATATAAAAAAACCTAAAGAAAATAATTTCGTTTCACATCCTCCATGTGCGAAATTTGATAAAGCCTAGCAAATTGAAAATTTTCTGTTGCATAAAAGTATTTTTAATCTTCAAACCAAAATTACTTTGCATGCTGGATAGTCAACATTCGAAAAGAAAAAAAGCATGTGAAAAACATTACTTAAAAAATCTGATATTATACATAAGAAATCCTTGTATTGTTTACTGATAATATGCACAATTTTATAAAGATATGCTTACTAATTTAAAAGTTATAGCATGAAAACTATAACAAGCACAAAATGTTTATGAGGTTGGTCCCTAGGACCGAGCCTGTGCTGAGAGAGTTAAGGGAAAAATTGTCAGGCTTCTCTCCGAAAGTCCATGATGGTATCTTGCATTTCTAGTACCGGTTCAGACTTGACGCTCGGCTCTCTGTTTGGGTTGAGCATGGTCCTTCTTTATGATCAATGTTGGTTCAGTACATTGTTTATGGAAGAGAGTCATTATCTCCTTGTAATTCTGAATACAGAGCAGTCCCATTCCGAGTCCTTGGTTAAGCACAATTTGTTCCGCATCCTCCCTATAATTCTGGAAAGAATAAGAATTTACCTTGCCCACTTAGTTGGGGAGTGAAGAATGGTGTTCATAATTCCAGACTGGATGAGTTCTGTTTCGTCAGTGTGAGTATGGCATACAGGATCCCCTCATTCCAAGCCTGGGGTGTTACCTTTTGGACTTCTTCAAAATGAGGAGAAGGTTTATCCACTTTGTTATTGCTTACCTTCTCATTGTGGTTCTGGTAGCTCAGAACACATCACTGTATGGCTACAGGTTGGGATCCACTCATAAGTGTATATGTATATACACACACACACACACACACACTATATATATATATATATATATATATATACATACATACATATTGAGGTCCAATTGCCCTAGCCACCAACGTGAGATATATGGACCATGACCCTAGAATTACTACCTGAGCAGTGGAGCCTTGGCTATCTGGTTGGGTCCTGTCCAACAGTAATGATAAATCAAGTAAAATTCCACAGTACATTAACTAAGTTCTGGGTGAAGAGCATACCTGTTCTGGATGTAGTGCGGTTCCCCCATTAGGGTGCCAATCTTCTATTGACACACCCATGATCTATACAGATGCTTTCCATATGGATAATGCTCTCACTGGCCCCTCCACTTAATCACTGTGGGATTCTAACTGTAGTGTGAGAGGAGGTAAGTGTGTTTTGGAAGTTAACATTTTTTTATAACTGAAAATGTATTTCCAGTCATACTTACCTCATCTCACACTCCCCTGCCCTTCCTCTCCACTAAGAGCTGATGTTAAATACTGCAGATTGAGTCAGTCTCAAAATGTGATAACATTATCTGAATGAGGTGCTTATATATAGTACCAGAATAGAGGGCACATTGACGAAGGTGGAGAGTATCATGTAACAAATATCACCAAGGGCAATTAAGTGGGATATAAAAGACTGAAGTAAGCAAGAAAAATTCAAGTAAGTGCTTAAATGGGCAAAGGAAGAAACCCTGGCAGTCGAGTAATATCTGTAGTATGAGAGGAGGTAAGTATTATTTGAAATACAATTTTGATTTAAGAAAATGTTAAATTTGGAGTGACTTTTCATCAAAGCCAAAACAAGATTTTGGGAGTTTCATTGTACTTCTTGAAACATATGATTGAATTCTAACTTATGCAAAGCTTTATATATGAGAAATTGGTCTAACAGGTTTCCTCTTGTTCGAAGTTGCCACCCAAACATGGCAATTTCTGTGTAATTGACTTGCTACCTTAGGGTTAAAATAAATTTTTTAAAAGTTTCAAAAAACTGCATCTAAAAGAAAGAAAAGATGCACTTTAAAGTGCATAAGCAGTTGAGAACATCAATTTGAAAAGTAAGTTTGTTTTAGAGAGCATAGTTAATTCTCCTTCTTTTTTAATTGAATTTTGTAGGATTTTAAGTTTTTTGTGTTACACGTTTCCTCACATTCCTATATGTGAACAACTTGTTTTCTATAATTTTTATAACATTGTTATTATTTTCTTCTTTAATAGGAATGCACTGTTCAAGGCTATTCACAAACTGAAGGAGGTAATTATTTTTAAGATTTCTAGCAATAATGAAAAGACTTGAATAACTCAGAAGGCTCTATTGAGTCTTATATTTTTGACATAAAGGATTAAGAAATTATTCTCACATTGGGAGTCATTATGTAATTTTATGTAAATTTTTCCTTTACTAACAAAAACCATTTTTGACAATTTAGTATTTATCAAGTTCAAGCTTAACTACCCTGAAAAATTTACACATTACAGTTATCTAATAAACATTACAGATTCTTTACTTAATTGCTAGAGTTTGAAAGCAATTGAAGTTCTGAAAATTAACACATGAAAAAAATATATTATAAACAATATTTTATACTACTTATAAACTTAGCAAATAATAAATCTTTTAGACTACTTTGATGAGACTTCTTTAGGAAGACTAACCATATTTTTAACACTTCATTTTCACCTTACCCAACATGTTTCTATTAAAAACAAAGAAAAAAGGAATTGTAATTTTAAGTATAATTACAGGCCTTAAACATTCTGCTTTTATATATAGGTAGTGTATGAATAAGGGCAAGCTGACTTTTTCCATGCATTCGTCTAACAAGACAAGTGTATATTTCAGCTGGTTAAAGTTAATTCATTTGTAGAGTAATGGCAATGCTAAAAATAAATTGACAGGCTTTAGTAAATACCTTCTTTTCTTTCTATTTCTCATTAAATTGTCACTATTCTTTTTATGTCAGTATGTTTATTTCAACATCACAGCCCCTAATTCTCTTATCATGCATACTGGATGGTGCAGTAATTATGGCTATGATGCTGAAAAATTGCAATATTTTGTTTACAAAACAACTGAAATTTTGTGAAACTAATTCTTAATTTATCCATAATTACAAAGTATCTGTACAAAAGTATTTTCCATAACATCACATTTCAGCTTTACTTGACAGCTATGGGCATGTGTACCTATTTCCTAACAGCTCCATAAATCTTTGAACATGATACTCTCTCATTATTTTTCCCTGGCTTATCCTGACCTGTTTATTTAACCTTATTTGGAATGAGAGATCAAAATAATTATTGATTTTCTGCACATGGTGCATATTGTATGTACATATATATGACATGGGATGTGATGACGATCATTGTTTGTGGCATATCTCAAAGGGCCAATATTATAAATAGAACATTAATTTATTTAGCAGTTGTATTGATCCTGTAACTAATAATTTTTAGTCGAGATAAGTCAAAGATGTTTAGAAACCTCTGCTGAGAATAAGATCAGTGTTTAAATTGTTTACTATGATGTTGAAAAAAAATTATATTATTTGAAACATCTTGCAGCACAAATAAAACTTGTTCAGGACAATTAAGAATCATATGTCACTTGCCCTGCAAGATAAGTGGCCATTTCATAAATCATTTTGGAGCCCCGAATAAGTTAGTTACAATAAGTTAAAAAGATCATTTATTCATTATATTACGGGCTATCAGGCCATCTATCATTTGAAACTATTATTCAAGTTCAATTGAAACACTAATTTGTTAAATAAGAACAATATATTAAGCATGAATCAACCCTATCTGGGTAGAAAATATGATGAAATCTCACAGTTGGGTTATTATTTATTATGTTACTGTCTTCGTATAATGATCTTTGATGAGCTTCCTGTAAAGAGTGTATTTTAATTGCATCTCACCTAAACTTTGTTGGTTATATGCTTATGAAGATTTTGTTTTGCTCAGTACCAGGGTTTATCTGACAAGCCTGGTGGTAACAGTTGGAGTCTTAGTTGCAATGCTGTTTACAATAATTCAAGAAATATTAAGTTATATATTTATTCTTGTGATTAGCAGTCATTCATCATTTACTGGCTGACCAAAAAGTTTATGTTCAACCTTCACAAAATAAGAAACTTAATGGTTTGATTTAAAAAAAATAGTAAAAATAAAATAACTAATACTGTAAAAAAGAAAAATATTACTGTAACTTTTGATTGTTTTTCTTCATTTTTACTTAATATTTTCTTAAAGATTTGGTATTTTCAGTCTCATTGTTATATGATGGCATCCATTCCTACCCCTTACAATGAGTGAGTGTACAAAGTTAGTCATTGATTTACAGTATAACTAACAAGTTATCATCTTGAGGAAACTAACAATTCCAATAGAAGGCTTCAGTATTATTCAAAACCAAAAATAAGACTCATATCCTATAAGTTATTTTATTAATTCCTCTTTTGACTGGTGAGCACCTTTCAGGTGTTTAGTGCAAACCTGCAAATTAAATTTCAAAATTAAAGTAAAATAATAATTCTACATATTTCAAGTTTTGTATTAAAAATATTTTAGAATTTATTGTTTGTCATTTGTAACATTTATTTATTGTTACTTGCAAAAAACAAAAAATGGAACTTGTACATCTGCACAGCTCTAGTTTTAACCCCAAACTAGATAAAACTTTGTACATTTTTACAAAGATTATTTCAGTGTGGTTAAGTATTTCTATTTTAATATGGGGAAAAATTGGGATGATATTCCCCAGTCCAGAAAGGTTGGGGGGGGGGGGTATTGTAATTCACGGAGCAGGAAGTAGATAGTTGTTTGGTGTAATATGACCAAGTCATTATGATATGTGCAAGTGTTACGAGAGTTGGGAACTAGAAATCTCTTCAAAAAATGTACTGTGTTTGTCAAAATTTCCTTTCAAATTTATCATGTTCATTGTTGGGTATTTGACTAGATTTATGTATTTGTAATTTCAGAATAATATAAAAGTAAGCTTTACAATAACTAGATGTAGGAAGACAATGTTATAATGGTAAATGCTAATGAAACTTGTTAATAATTGCTGGGCCATATCTCAATTAACCCAAGTTAGGTTATGACCCTGAAAGTGTGGCTTAACAAAACAAGTGTTTGGCCTTAAATTTGTTCTGCTTTTTTAATGTTTCTGTTTTGATACGTTATCATATCAAGGATAAAAGTTTAAAATGTTGAGTTTTTAATTATTAGTATTTTTAGGACGAAAAAATCTTTTGCTATAAAATGAAGACAAAAATTATATCCCCAGATTTAAACATTGAGATTGGTATCTGAACAAATTTTCAAGATTGCAGTTTATATTTTTAAGTGATAATTATATTCTAAACCCATATTGGCTCACTGAGTAGTCTTGTTATAGTATCTGTTACACTTTATGACCTAAAACTGATTTATGTACAAAAGTAGCATGATAAAATAAAGATAAGTTAGAATATGTGTGTAATGTAACTAAAACTATAAACATATATACTTTATACAAATTGAGTATATCAAATTAACTCTTAAACCTCTATCATTTTAATTTTTGGTTATTTTTTTTGTATTCCATTTTCAGGTCCTTCCTCAAGTGATAGAATCCAAATGTCAACAGCAAGAAGTAGTGACTCTCCGCAACAAGTGAAATACGGACGCAAGCTTGGGGCTAACATCCCTGGTTTAGTACAGTCTAATCTTTCCAGACCTGTTTCCTGCTCCCCACCACTCCAGATTTCCTCACAGTCACAACTAATACCATCAGCTGATAACAATCACATTTTTACAGCAGAGGAAGATGTAGAGGGTAACCGTTCCAGGTTCACAGCAGAGGAAGATGTAGAGGTTAATACTTTAAACAGAGTGAACCAGAAGAAGCCTGAAAGTTCTGATTCAGACAAGAATACCAGTAATTAATTTATGAAATAATGGAAGTAACTATAAAAAGCTAGTTTATTATTAGTTAATAATAAAAAATTACTACAAGAACAGTTTTGCAAAGAACCAAGTTGTTCAGAAAAGACACCACTACTGTACAGTATTGTTAGTAGTAATTTTCTGTATGGTCAAATGTATTTATTTATACAAAATGTTTTGGAGTTTTTGAACAGCTATCTGATTTAGAAAGTATTATTTGAGCAGCATCATTAAATTATTTTTCTTTTGTCAAACTAAATTTATCTGTAGTCTTAGAATATGAAAACAAAACTAGGAGGACTCAAAAGTTGCCCAAATACTAATGTATCATTTTACAATTCTATTTTTACAGTGTTTATGTGGTGATAGGACTTGCTGTAAAGTAACAACATAATTAGTTAAAACACTGTTGAAGCTTTTATCTAATTACCTTTGCTTATTGCTAGTCTAGCACTTGTGCATCATGTGAACAAGTTTTTGGTGTTAAAAAACTCTGCTGGAGCTTATTAGCATTCTCTACAGAAACTTTAACCTGTAGCTATGAGTTCAGAGTTACGCACTATCAAAAATAATGATTTCTGAGTGTATGTATACATTCTTGAAGTGTTCATTTAATAAAATTAAATACTTATGACACAACATATATAAACCAATCATTCATAACAGAAAAAAAGTGAAGTGGTCACTGAATAATATCAAATATCTTAGTAGTTTGCAAGTTACTTAACTGTTCAATTATGAAAAGAAAATCTTTAACACAGCCCATCATTTGGATTACGTTGTATGTAGTAAATACAACTGAAAATATTTTGTAACTGGAAATAAATTATAAAACCTCTGAATATTTACTTCTTTGTTAGGCTTTCAGTGAAAAACTACAGATTTTTTAATGATATAACAAAGGCCTTCTAGAAATCGATGATTGGTTTATGTCTGTGTCTATAGTTATAACATCACTCATCTTAGTTTATGTAAAGTATTAATTATTGGTATTACTATATCACATAATGTATACATGTAATATATTCTGTTTTGAAGTACATCACCTGCATTCATTTGGTTTTATAGAGCTTGTTTCATAAGCATAAATTTTAAATAGTTGTATACAGTATAGTTTATTTTAAACAAATACTTCAATTTCAAGTAGAATAAACAAGATTAGGCTGCTTTTAGTAAAATCATAGCAGGCTAAAAAGTTTTCAAAATAACAAGATTAGGCTGCTTTTAGTAAAATCATAGCAGGCTAAAAAGTTTTCAAAATAACAAGATTAAGCTGCTTTTAGTAAAATCATAGCAGGCTAAAAAAGTTTTCAAAATGAAAAATGTATACATAACATAATCTGTAGTTAACCCTAAACATTGTTGTACCAGTTAAGTCTGCAAATAATGATAATGAAATATATTCTGGCAGGCTACATTAGTAACTTATTGTTTTTATATGTTGAATACTTAGTACATGTGTCCAATTAAACTCACCAACACATGATTCTTTCACAATGTATCTATACAAACTATTACTTACATTACCATCAGTTATATTAGATACTCAACATAGCTTTGAACATAAAGATACTAACAGCTGACTAATTTGACTCTAATAATTAATTAAAATGTAATGCCAAAAACCACCTACAGTACTCTAATAGAAACCTTGAGTTCAGGCTTATGTTTTTTTACTTTAAATTGACCAAGTTTAATGTTTAAAAACATTCAGTTGGTGAATATGAACATTTAACTAGAACATAGGCTTGCAAAATTATATTTAATGTGTTTTGTTTATAACTGGCTTTATAGTGTTTATTAGACCCTGAGTGTTAATTCTGCACAACACATTAAATGCATTCAGTAGTTGTATAGATGATAATGTCACTTGATGCTTGAGGTATGCCTGTGATGAGCATTGTCATGGCTACACTAATTATTCAAGAATGTTATTTATGATTATATTTTAATACTATGAAAGCAAGGTATAATACTAACAACATGTATGTTTTATGAAGAACAGTGTATTAGCTAATCAGTTTTTATATGATATGAATAGTTGTGTAAAGAACTATTTATCTAGTAATACTGTAATAAACATGTAAGAAATGTACAGCTAAAACTGATCTACAGTTTATTATGTGGTACTACTACAAGTGTGCAAAAACTATATGTAAATCAACATTTTAGGGAAAGGCAAAAAAATTAACTATTTAATACCAACCTTCTCTAGATTTTTTGAGGTATTAGTCCAAATATAAAAAATAAATTAATGAGAATTATTATTTTCAGTAAGTTTTTTGTGGGAAGTTTTATTTGTATTTCTTCTAAAATGAAAGGATATTAGATTTTGTTTTTTGCTGAACAAAATATTTAGGACCTTATAATCAGAAGATTGACCTTTGCCAAAGCCTTGTAATGTTTGGTGTATAACCTTCTGACTCTTTTTAAATGAAACAAAAACATGTATGAGTGAACATAGTAATACCTACAATTTGTGTGTTGAAAAATGTGGAATTACTTTATTTTTATGGTTAACTTCACATGTTGTTAATATTCTTGGAATTGACTATCACTATAGTTTTGTATAGAACAATACAAATGCAATCAATAAATACAGTCAAATGAAGTATCTACTGTACTGGCCTGTGCTGTAAAACGTAAGAAAGAAGTTTTGACATAAATTAAATGTATCTCTTTTTTTTTTGTTATAATGCTACTGTCTTTTATAACTAAACTAGGTTCGTCTAAATAGTTACATTATTTCCTGTTTCTACAAAAAATGTTAATCTATGTGGGCAGAAAGTTAAACTTCTGTAATTTTTGTTTAGTCAGTGTGTGTCTGTGAATTATTATAAAGGATTCAAACAGTCATTTTAGGTGAAAAAAAAATGCATTTTCATTTGTTAAAATATTAAAATTGGACTGTTAGCTAACCTAATCTTACAAAAAAAACTTACTTAAAATAACTTGTGGAAAAAATATCTGTAACATAAAATTATGTGTGTATCTGTCTTACTCGATGTGTGTGTGTGTAGAAATTACTGTTAAACATTTATTCAGGAAAGTAATCTTGAGAGTTTTTTAAGCATTGCAAGGTCCTGGTTCAAATATAAAAAGAAAAGTTCCTTATCTTGATCATAATAAGTGCATTAAACCAGACTTTTTTAAAAAGTTATTATTTGTGTTTTTGATAGGTTACTTGTGTTTTCTGTACTCACGTTTCATATCTTTCTTACTGTTTTTTATAAGAAAAACTATTATCCCCCCCTCCTCCAAACTACAAAATGTTTGTTTGATATTTTC